CCTGCTGCCCCCCCCTTCCTCCTCCTCCTCCTCCTCCTCCTCCTCCTCCTCCTCCTCCTCCTCCTCCTCCTCCTCCTCCTCCTCCTCCTCCTCCTCCTCCTCCTCCTCCTCATCGTCATCATCCCCCTTCTCTTCTTCATTCCTGACGTTCATGCGCAGAGCCCCGACGCGCTTCATTCTGCTCCCGCTACGCGATCCCACCCTTTTCCCGCTGCGCCCCCCGTCTCTAGCCCCCGCTCCCCCCCCCCCATCCATATCCCCCGCCCCCCCCCGCACCCCCGGGATCGTCAGAACCGTCGTCGTCGTCATCGGCGCCATCATCATCACCATCGCTATCGCCATCGCCAGCAGCATCAGAGATTAACGCGCTGAGCTTTGGCGACGACGACGGCCGCGAGCGGCCGATGATGTAAGCGGCCAGCGTCTGGCGGCTGAATATGTTCAGGTACTCAGACGCATTCGTTAAAAAGCGGCGACGAGATTTTCGCAGAGCTCAAGATGGCCGGGCCGCGGAGCTGACTGGAGCAGAGGACCAGAATCAAAAGAGGGGCGCATGGAATCTGAGTCGCACGCTGGCAGGTGACCACTTCGGCCCCAAGAAGCGCAACTACTTTCTAATATCGGCGCAACCACCGACTTGTCAAGAGCGGGCTGATTATATGGGACTGCCAGGTGCAGGGGGCACCATGAGCGTTTCATTGGCGTCGTGCGGAGCTGATGCTCAATCTATCGACATCGCCAGTCTTGCACGAGATATATCTCACAATGCTGATGCACATCGCTACTCGTTGGCTGTGCAGGCGCAGAGGCATGCAATTTGTCTTCGGGCGCTGGCACTGCCAGCGGTGGTGGCGATGGAACCAGAGTAGTTCCGCGGGTTGGCGCCGCCGCCGCGGCCAGCGCCGACCTAGTGCCAGGCCAGGCGGATACGCGGCGCTTGCAGCAACTCGCGGGTCAACTCGACGAAGTTTTCGGGGGCCCCCGGGGAGCGGCGCCGAGCTTCGAAAAAAGCCAGAACACGTAAGCTAGTGCCCTTCTGGTTTATTACTCGGGAGGTCTGGCCGATGAGCCTCGGGGGCGTCGGCGCCGATCAGGGACATCTTCGTGGGGGGCCCTTTTTACAATCTACGCTGTCGTTCCCGGCGGCAAGACGAAACCGAGAAACACCGAACAGCTGGCGCGTCAGCGAGGCCTGTCCCATACCCGAGGGCAATGAAAAAATAAGTGCGAGGCCGAAGGGATGATCCACCTCCTAGACCCCGCGGGCAAATCACATCATTGCGCACTTTGACCTCGACGCAACGCCCATAGTTACCGCAACTCTACGGGCTTCAAGATTGGTCGTAGGCTCCTGGCAGATGCGTCGCGCGCAGTGGCGTCTCTCCGAAGTGGGGCGCAGTTGGATGGAACCTTCTGCGGCATGCTAACGCCTTCGCCTCCGTCTCCCACAATGCCCTCGACAGCGCGATCGATGACGCGCTCGCCGCCGACTCGGCCCATGTCGCTAGATATCGGCATAGACGAGCGATGACGTTTGTCCGCCCCCGGGCTTCCATGGACTTGGGGCGCGGGGGCCTTCGGGGAGGCGCTGCGGCGCCGCCGAGATTTACCAGCGTCAATGACCCAAAACTAAAGACCTGGATCACGACCGCAGAGGAGCTCGAGGAGTCTCAGTTTTTCGACGTCCGCGAGCCCATCCCAGGTGAAACCGCCAACGTTTCTTTCGCGGCGCTCGCCGATGATGCGACTCGGCTCGGCATTTTGCCCAGGAACCTCCATGCCCAGCAGGCCGCGGAAAAGCTGGCAGCTTGGGTCGCTGGTTCCAAGAGCGCGGTCACGGACGCCGCGGAGCTTGTTCCGAACGAAGACGAGAAGGAGATCTCAGTGCGACGTCACGGGCGAGGATCTTCTCAATGCGCGCACGATTTCCACTGCCAGCGCGGAGTAAGGAGGCACGGTCTAGACGGGTGGACACATCGCGAAGCGGAGGTGGGATTGGCGGCTGCGCGCACGGGCCGGCGCGCCCCAGGGCGCCCCCGGACTTCCGGCGCGAGGAGGAGGAGGAGGAGGAGGAGGAGAAGAAGGGGAGGAGGAGGAGGAGGAGGAGGAGGAGGAGGAGGAGGAGAGAGGGAGGAGGAGGAGCGAAGAGAGCGAAGAGAGGAGGAGGAGAAGGAGGAGGAGGAGGAGGAGGAGGAGGGAGGAGGAGGAGGGAGGAGGAGAGGAGGAGGAGGAGGAGGCATGTTGAGGCTGGCCGGGGCTACCTGGGGGGCTGGCTGTGCGCAACCCGACGCCGTGCGAGCGAGTGCTCCCAGAGGTCGAGCTTTGCCAAAGACCGCCCGTCGCTATTATCATGTTTAGTAAACGAGAGGAGGAGGAGGAGGAGGAGGAGGAGGAGGAGGAGGAGGAGGAGGAGGAGGAGGATTTTTTAGTAATTTTTAGTATTTTTTTAGATTTCGGGCCATAGTTCGGGTCTCCAGCGGCCGTTCGGAACCCCTGGAAC